GGCAGTATCACTACAGAAGTAGATTGCCCAACCTTCCTTCTGAGGAGTGGCTGGTGGGTTTGAACCGCCAGCCTTCTGGTTAGCAGTCAAGTACCTTAGACACTATGCCACCAGAGCTTCTAAGATAAATTTAGGTAACATAAAAATACTTTCAAAAGTTAAAGAGTAATTTATAGGTATCAAAGCTCAGAGTAAGAGAAAGCCAAAACAGCAAAGATCTGTCCAATAGTATGTATGTTAAGGGTGGGAGCTGGGAGTAGTGCTCAATTTTTTTTACCAAATAATTAGCATAAAATACTTGTCCTAGGAATGAAAAAAGCTGTCTAATTGAAACAAACATAACAACTTTACTTAATTTATAGCTGTTCTCTACAAGTAGCACTAAACTATGCATGCCATGGGAACCTGCCTTCAGTTTTCTTCCATTAATATGGACAGGTAGAATTGAGAGTTGGGAGTGTGAAGGCAGTGTTTTTATACTTCCTTTTTACCTAAGAGAATTGTAAAACAGTAATGCATGGGCCAGTTCTACTAAATTAAAACAAGGATAGAGGAAAAATTGATAAATTTTTAAAACACAGGGAGCCACTCAATTACTCAAATGTCAGAGGAGATTGTTGGCCTGAAAGATCTTAATTGGTCCTTCCGGTATCTAGTCTCATGAAAAAATAGTTGAATCTACTATTTTTCTCTGAGCATAGAGACTATGTTGCCTCCCTTAGGCAGGAGTAAGATGACATACCTATAGCTGTTCCTTCAAAATTATTAATAACACATAAAGGCCAACTATATACTATCTACCTACCTTTATTTATACTTTCCACTTCCATATTATTCTTAATATATATGCCATATTTTTCCCATATAATGCACCCACATAAATAACATGTAAAACATATAATGTGCATGGCATGCATAGTAGACTAATGTGAAGAGGGTTGTGCAGTTTGCAAAACTCATGTGATATGCATGTTATTTTGGTAAAATATTGTATCCTACTTACTCATTTATAAATAAATCTAGTTGGCTTCTATTACCATTTGTCTAGTTCTTCACCTTTTTTTCTTTTACCAGCTTACTGATTTTACCCTTCCATCCAATTATTCTGCCCATCCTGATTGTCAGATGTTGCTTTATCTTTCTCCACTGATTTGTATATTAAAAAAATGTTTTATAGATAGAAGATCCTTAAAGTTCATTATATGGAGATTGAGGTCAAGATCCTTTGTGGTTATGTAATTTAGGTAGATGAAGAGCTGAACCCAGGTCTCAATTGGTTTTGATTTTTTTAAAGATACAATCTATTTAAAAAAATAAAAAAAAGCAGTCGCTGTGAAGTCAACACAACCTCATGCAGACCTCACGTGTATCAGATAGCAATGTGCTCCATAAGCATTTCAATGGCTGATTTTTTCCCCCCCCCAGAAGTAGATTACCAGGCTTTTCTCCTGTGTAGGTGAACTTGAACCACCAACCTTTAGATATGCAGCCAAGTGCACTAACTGCTCTGCTAAACCCAAAAAACAAACCTATTGTTGCCATTAAGTCCATTCTAACTCATAATGACCTTATAGATCCATTATAATGACCCTATAGTTCACATAGGACTATGTGAACTGCCCCACAGGTTTTCCAAGGTTGTAATCTGTACAGAGGCAGAATCCCACATCTTACTTCCACAGAGCTACATCTCTATAAAAAGATCCTGGATCCATATTGATCTAGGATATTGGGTCCTCAGTTTTCCCGATACTCAAAATCAGTTGTGATACTTTTTAAAAACACTTCTTGGGATCCACAGCAGATTACTAAACCATAGTCTCTGGAAGTAGGGAAAATGAAACTATGATTAAAAGGCATCACAATTTAAAAAAAAAAAAAAAAGTGCTCCAGGTAAATCTGATGTTTAGCCAGTCTTGGAAATATTGCTCTTGATTTTGATCACTTCAAGATGTACTCCAAATTTTCCCATCGGATGTTTGTTTCTCCTCTATCAGACTCTTGCCCTAACAAAATTTTCTTTCTTCCTAGTGGATAAGGCGACATTCATGGTTGGCAGTTATGGGCCTCGGCCTGAGGAGTATGAGTTCCTGACTCCAACTGAAGAGGCTCCGAAGGGCATGCTGGCCCGGGGCACTTACCACAACAAGTCATTCTTCACCGACGATGACAAGCATGACCACCTTACCTGGGAGTGGAACCTGTCCATTAAGAAGGAGTGGACAGAATGAGAGCATTTGCTCATCCTTTTCCCCACCCCTTGACACCTAGAAGGGTCCTGTCAGTCCTGTTCATCCCCCATCCCTCCTCACTGTTCTTCCTCAATGCTCCCCATATTCTGTTATTGAAGCATCTTATCCCATACCACCTGCCAAAGCAGTCCCAAGCACAAAAAGCTTAAAACCCAGGCTTAAGTTTCCCTCTGATCCCCACTGGGTTCAGATCTTCAAAGTTATCCATCTCCATAGACAATCATTTAATGTTTCCCTTTCTTATTCTCATTCAAGAAACTAGAGACCAGGAAATGGACAAACTCTCACTAACAATCCTTTTGCTTTAGGTCCAGTAGCTCTGCCCCATCCCCTGCATTCTTTTTTGGTTGCTGGCTGGCTCAAGAAAGTCCCCTAATCATATTCCCTGTCAATTGGGGCTCTTCTTTTGTGGGAGACACTGTAAACAGCACAAGGGAGTAAGAATAAAATAAAAGTTGTATATTCTGACTGAGATCCTCATTTCCCTGCTTTCTGCCTTTGGACGAACATAATAACTGGATGGTTCATATTCATGAGTTTCCTAGAGGGGATGGGAGTGGGGGAAATACAGTAGAGAAGGGAATTACATCAATGAGAACAGATAAGTCCCCCTTTCCAGTAGGATGGGCAATGAGCATACAGAAAATAGTGGAAAATCTATTTTTTTTTTTTCTTCTTTAATATTCAGTTTCTCCTAAGTTGGAAATCTATATATCCCACTTGCCCAAGGGAATCTTGTCTTGGATTTACCACATGCACCTGTGAGCCAAATCACGTATTGTCTTTCTCCCGCTTAATATTTCTCAGTAGGTTCCCATGACCTGCAGAATGAAGTTTGAATTTCCTACGCTTAGCATACAAAGCCTGCTGTGATTGGGCACAGGGTGCCTTTCTGGCAACATTCACCATTCCCTTCCTTTTTATAATGCTGAATCATGTAAAATTCTCCCACACATTACATTGACATCTCTGCCTTGGCTAGGCTGTTTACAGGAAACTCCCTTCCACCTTTTGTTGACTGGCAAAATCTTATTTCCCCAGGTCTCTGCTTAGGCATCCCCTGCAGGAAGAAAACCTTCACTGAACACCACAATTGTCTTAAATGCCCTTTGTCCATACCCTCATAGGACCCTATCAGTTTCTCTATTTTTTTTTAATATAATTTAAATTTAAATTTTTTACATTTAAATGATCTGTTTGTCTATCTGTCCCTCCCACTAAAAATCTAAGCTGGGAGAAGCATCAGATCACAGCTATCTTTGTATCCCTAGTGCTCAGGTGAATACTTGGCATAAATAGGTTTCTATTTAAATGAACTGACCTGACTTTCATATGGTTGGTTATGTTCTGAGGCCATTATCATTGACTTAGTCTTTTATCACAGAAGGTGAAGGTTCCCCTAGAGCCAGCTGCAAAATTCCCAGAATGCTAATACATCACAGACAATTAACCGAACATTAAAGCCCAGAGCTTGAAGAAGGAGCAGGAGAACAATGGAAGCTGCCCAATCCACACACTTGTTTCTCTTATTTCTTCTTACCTGGGGGCTGCTTCCAGAAGTTGCTGCAGAAGTTCAGGAATCCCCAGGTAAAAGAAAATAGCACTTGAGTGATAATTGGGTGTGTTAGGAGAAGAGGTGGGGAAGGGAGATGGCAGTACTCTGGATACCTTTCCTCCAAACCTACAAAATATTCCAGTAAATGCTGAGTAAAAACTTATGTTGCCTGTGCAAAGGAGGGAAATCTGGCATTATCCTTCAGAGACAAGTCATAAGGTGAAGTCATTCTCCATATGTTAGTGAAAAACAAAACCTTGGAAGGATATCAGCACACCTACTTGGCCTTAGGATGAGGAAGAAAGATATCAACTTTTCGATACTTAGACCTGTTCCTTTTCCCCTCAACACCTCACACTTCTGCTTATTCCCTCTCTAGATGGCCCTAGTGCTTCCCAAGAGGCTGTGTGGCTCACAGATGTCCCAGCTGCTGTGGAATTCATTGCTGCTGCTGAGGTGGCTGTCATAGGCTTCTTCCAGGTTTGTCCAGATGTCCCACTTGCTAGTCCCCCAAAAAGCTAGAATGTTCTCTCGCAGGGGAGCATTAACAGCCACTTGCTGACAGATGGTGCTACATTTGAAGCAGTTGGTCAAAGGTACTTCAGCACAGAGCCTGTTTTTTGGATTGTCATCAAGTCCTCTACATTTAAGGGCATGCTGCTTCTGAATTATACCTTCTCTGTACTTTCTTCAAGAGTTCTGAGACTGATGCTTGAGTCTCCTCATCTATGGATATTTTGAAGATTAAGTCAGTATCTTGATAGGCTGAAGCAAGGGCCAGGGGAAGCCAGCTTTTATCATTTAGTTAACACTTTTTGTAGTATGGAAGCTCTGGTGGTGTAGTGCCTAAGGTATTTGACTGTTAACTGGGATGGCGGTTCAAATCCACTGGCCACTCCTCAGAACGAAGACTGGGCAATCTACTTTCATGGAGATACCGCCTTGGAAACCCAAGGAGGGGTTACTATAAGTTGGGTTTGACTTGACGACAGTGAGTTTGGTTTGGTTTTTTCATCATATGCCAAAGCCTCCCAAGCATTAGCCAGTAATCTATTGTCTAAGTTCTTTCTCCAAATAGGTTGTTCCTTTTTCTTTTTACTCTTGGCTTTCTCTGAAATGTTGAAAACAATGACATTTTGTGTACTGAAGATGTTCTCCTCTATCTTCCAGACAGGCTGCCTGGCTAATAAGGGTAGCCATGAAGAGAAAGCATCATATCTTCATTTTCTACTTTTTCTGGGGGTAGCATCTGGCAGTTCTCTCAGTTGATCAAGCCCCTATTCCCTCATTGCAGTCCTTGTTTCCATTCATTAATTCCAACTCACCATCTCCCTCACCCCCAGTCAATTCTGTGTACACAGCTGGAAATAGCTGCTATGAGATGCTCGTGGGGGAGGAAGATTGGGAACAAATTTTTCAGTGATGAGTGAGCTGAGCTGTAGACAAAACCACCACCCTTCAAAAGGCAGAGAGGAGAAAGAAAGGGGACTAAGGGAGTCTGTAATAATTTAAATAGCCACCAGATGCCATCATTTGACCTATGAGCTTTTCCACTTGACCAAAAATTAAAAAACCAAACTCACTGCCATCAAGTTGATCCCAACTCATAGTGACCCCTCCTTGGTTTTCCGAGGCGGTATCACTAGGAAAGTAGATTGCCTATCTTCCTTCCGAGGAGTGGTTGGTGGGTTTGAACCACCAGCCTTCTGGTTAGCAGTCAAGTGCCTTAGGCACTACACTACCAGAGCTCCCCAATTGCTCATAGCCTCAGATAAACTTCACATACTCCTTGCTTTTTAGATAAGCAAGGTATCAACTCCCTCTGCTTGACCTTAGATGCAAGACCTTTTTAACAGTTGTCATAGAGTCAGTTCTAACACCTGACAACCCCGTAAGTGTCAGAGTAGAACTGTATTCTACAGGATTTTCAATGACTTTGTTCTGAAGTAGAGAGTCAAGCCTTTCTTCTGAGCAATCTCTGGGTGGAGTTGAACCTCCAAGTTTTCAGTAAGCAGCTATGTGTGTTAACCATTTGCAGCACCCAGGGACTCTGATGCAAGATTAGCCATCTTCTTTTCTCTTAGCATATCTTCTCCTTCTGTCCAGAGAGATTCAGGGAAGAATATGTTTTCTGCTGCTTATTGCCTAAAGATGTGGGCAAAAGTCCTGGTACATCAGGAATAATGATTCCAGACTGCTACATAAGCACTGAAATCATCACTCAGAAGTGTCTTACCTGCTCCCTCCTACAGGCCTGAGTTATTGAGTCTGGACAATGCATGAACAGTATCTTCATGGGCAATATACCTCAGGTTTCTACAGGGTAGAAGGAAGGGACTATACCTGTACTCTCAAACATACCTTTGTTAATATGACTATAAGCTTCCATTTCTAATTTTATCCTTCCTTTTATGGCTCTGGTTTCTTATCTTTGCATTTCTTCATTTCTCTACAAACTGCTCCCTAAATATCTGCTGCCTTAGGCATATCGATAACCAAAAAAAACAAACTCACTGTTGTTTGAGTTGATTCTGCTCATAGTGACCCCCACTGGATTTCTGAGGCTGTAAATCTTTACAGAAGCTCACAGATTCATCTTTCTTCTGCACAGTGGCTGGTGGGTTCAAACCATTCACCCTTTGGTTAACAGCAAAATGCCTTAACCACTACACCACAATGTTGTTGCTGCTGTTGTTGTTATGTGCTGTTGAGAATGACCCGACTCATAGCGACCCCTTCTTGGGTTTCCAAGGCGGTATCACTACGGAAGTAGATTGCCCAACCTTCCTTCTAGGAGTGGCTGGTGGGTTTGAACCACCACCCTTCTGGTTAGCAGTCAGTGCAGTCTAATTCTCTAGGCCTCTTGACTTTGGCAATTTGCATTTCCACCCCAGATATTCTACAGCACAGTTTCTTTATCAGCTACTGGTGAACTACAAGTTTTATGGTAAGGCCAGGTGGGAGTCCTAACCTTAGCCATTATTTTGGTTAAAAAAAACAACTCACTGCCGTTGAGTCAGATCTAACTAATAGCACCCCCTCCTTGGGTTTCCCAGGTGGTATCACTATGGAAGTAGATTGCCCAATCTTCCTTCCAAAGAGTGGCTGGTGGGTTTGAACTGCCAGCCTTTTAGTTAGCAGTCAAATGCCTTAGGCACTATGCCACCAGAGTACTTACCTATTAATCCACATAGCCTGGAAGATTCAGGAATGCCACTGCAAGTTTAGCCTGCATTCTCAGATGTAAATTTTATTTCACTGGACACTAAATCAAGTCTGTGCTTTCTGGTATGAGTGTGCACATTTCTCTTCCGTATTCTGTTTCTATGTCTATGTCTCTGTCTCCAAAATAATCTTTGTGTTTTTGTCCTGTTTTTAGGACTTAGAAATACCAGCAGTGTCTGTATTTCACAGCATGATACAGAAATTCCAAGATGTGTCATTTGGAATCACCACCAATTCTGAGGTTCTGACCCACTACAACATCACTAGAAATGCCATTTCCCTCTTTCGTCTGGTAAGTAGGGTGGGCTCTCGAACTTTCTCCCGGTTTTTCCTTAGGTTGTGGAATAACAAACTAGAGACCAGGGCTTCCGATTGGCTCTTTCTGATTCAGCTCCTTGCTGAGAATTTGCATTTCCACCCCAGACATATTGAAGCAGAATCTACATTTTAACTAGCTGGAATCTTGTTAAAATGTAGATTCTTTGTGTGTGTGTGTGTGTGTGTGTGTGTGTGTGTGTGTTTGAATTTTGTTCCACATTTTTCCTCCCACTATCCAGGATCTCCAGTTTTGATCCCTTTCTAAGTGATTGGCATTGGTAGCCAGGCACCATCTAGTTTTTCTGGTCATAAAGTTCTGGGGTCATGAAGGCTGAGGTCTTCATGGTCCATCTTATCCTTGGACTAATTATTTCCAGATGCCTTTGATTTTCTTCACTCTTCTTTGATTCAGATGATAGGAGACTAATAGTTCATCTTAGATGGCTGCTTGAAAGCTTTTAAGACCCCAGTCACTACTCACCAAAGTAGGTTGGAGAACAAGATTTTTATGTATTATGTTGTGTTAATTGAGTGTGATGTCCCCCAAGACTATGGTCCCGAGTCCACAGGCCTGGTGATTCTCTCTCTCAAGGTGTTTGGTTGTCTCTGAGAAGCTACTCCAACCCTGTGTTCTGTTGTTTCTGCAATGTATGTGAGTAATTTTGTAGCACCAGCACATATGTAAGATTATCTTTAGCCAATCTATCCTAGGTCTAGGGTATATTTCTGTTTGCCTACCCCACCTGATCTTCTCACATGTCTAAAATCTAAAATGTAGATTCTGATTCAGTGAATGTGTCTGGGATGGAAATGCAAATTCTCAGCAGAGGGTCAAACCAGCATCAACCAGGTCAAAGCTCTGCTGGAGAATAAAAGCACTCTGTCTCTGACACCAGTGATGATGACAAACTCAGAAACATTGTTGACAGGATGATGATTCAATTTAAGCTTCCCAAACAGGTGTTGTAATGAACTGGAGAGAGGACTGGGCTAAAAATCAGAAGATGGGATTTGAAGCACTGCTTTGTCATTGCCTAGTCATGTGACTTTGGGGAAGTAAAAAATAAATAAATAAATAAGGGTTACCATTTTTAGCTTCAATTCTTTTATCTATAAAATAAAATAGGCAATATCATCTATAATGTCAGTTTCAGCTCTAAAATTTTATATTCTTCATACCTTTTGGAAGTTCATTTATATGTATCACACATTTGTTAAATAATGACAGTGTGTTATGCAAGATATTGATAATGAAAAACAAACTCACTGCTGTGGAGTTTCCTTGGGTTTCCAAGGCAGTATCACTATGGAAGTAGATTGCCCAACCTTCTTTCTGAGGAGTGGCTGGTCTGTTTGAATGGCCAGCCTTCTGGTTAGCAGTCAAGTGCCTTAGGCACTATACCACCAGAGCTCCCACTGATAATAAAGGCACATTAAATATATGCGCCACACTCACAGATCTCAAAATATAGTTGTTAGTCACCGTTCAGATGACTCTGGTTCATAGCAACCTTATGTAAAACTGTAAACATAATACACAAGTATCTCTAACACCAAAAAATCACTATGAAAGGATCAAATGACAGAAGCAATATAAGAATTCTGGGGAAAAAAGAAACTTTATGAAGGAGACAAAGTGGGATTTAAAGGATAAATAAAATTTAGACACAGTACAGGAGACTCCTTCCGAATTAAAAACCAGTTGCAGCAGTACATTGACAGGGAACTTCCAGAGACACAAGAAGTGTTTAGAAAAGGATGCAGAATGAGGAGATGATTGCTGATGTCAGATGGATCTTGGCTGAAAGCAAAGAATACCAGAAAGATGTTACTTGTGTTTTATTGACTATGAAAAAACATCCAATTGGAGGCGGGGCAAGATGGCGGACTAGGCAGAAGGATTGCACAGACCCTCTTCAACAAAGAAAAGGGAAACCAATTAACACAGACACA